GGGGTAAGGATGAGAGGATTAAATGAACTCTAGATAGGGCAAAGGGGAAAAGAGAAGGGAGAGCAAGGGAGGGAGCTTACAGGTAGGAAAGAAAGTAGAACGCTATGGTCATCATTACCCTAAGTACATGTATGAAGACATGAAAGCTGTGACTCTACTTTTGTGTATAACCAGGGATATGAAAAGTTGTGCTATATGTATAATATAAATTGTAATGCCTTCTGTTGTCATAACAAATTAAAATTAAGAACAATACAAAATTAAAAAAAATAAAAGATATGAATTTATAAACAACAACAACAAAAAGAAATGGGATGTCTAGATCATATGATAGTTCTTATTACAGTTTTTTGAAGAACCACCATTCTGTTCTTCACAATGACTGTATTAATTTACATTCCTATCAACAGTGTATAAGAGTTACCTTTTCATTCTCATCAGCATTTGTTGTTTTTTGCTTTTGAGATGCAAAAAAGCATTCTGACTTCACCATTCTGACTAGAGTAAAATGACATTGTGGTTTTGATTTGCATTTCCCTGTTGGCTAATGATGCTGAGCATTTTTTCATATATTTGTTGACTATTTGCATATTTTCTTTTGAGAAGTATCTATTCATTTGTTTTTTAATTTTTTGAGGGGGGCTTTTTGCTGTTGAACATTTTTAGTATTTATATATACTAGATGTTAATCCCTTATCAGATAAATAGTTCACAGATATTTTCTTCCTTTCTGTAGGTTGGGTCTTCATGCTAATGATTGTTTCCTTTGCAGTGTATAAGTTTCTCAGTTTAATATCATTCCATTTGTCCATTTTTGGTTTTGTTGCTTGTGCTTCTGAGATCTAATCCAAAATATTACTGCCTATACCAATGTTTTGAAGTATTTCCCTTCTTCCTTTAGAATTTCTATAGCAATTACCAAAGTTCACAATATTTTAATCTTTCAAACCCAAGAGCAATAGCATTACCACGGAGCAATATTCTTAACAATTATGGTGCTATGGCTCTACAACATTGTCTACCAGAAATGGTTCCTTGCTCTCTATCACCTGAGTGGTGAATGATTGAATTCTGAAAGCTGATATTAAGGATCTGCTTCCTAGGAAGCTTCATGTTTCCTCTATCTTACCCAACTTGGGTTGTGCTCCCTAGTAAGAAGACCCAGAGACAAGGATTTGACTTAATGCCATTTATTTGGAAAATGAATCAAGGTAAAAGAGTAAGGAGATAAGGGATAAAAGGATGGAAAGCAAATTTAAGGGTGAGACATGTGGAAAGATTACCCTTGTGGGAACCAGGGACTTAATTCCACTGAAGACCTCTAAGAGTCCACAGAGCATGCCTCAGAATTGCTCAATTTGAGCAATAAGGAACCCTGAGTATTTATCTTCCAGCATCTGCTATCATTGGCTGAGATTTGTTCCTGGAGACATTGACTCCATGGCACTCCTGGCCTAACTTGCAGACTGGCTGCTCCAGGAGCCAGAGAATGTCCAAATAGGGGGCTTATATAGACTTACATAGGAAGCTATGTTGCTGGTACTTATAGAAACAGTGAGTGTCAAGAATATGTAAGGAAAAATATCTGTTACAAAAGACAAGGCTGCTGTGAGTGTATTCCACTGATATGATTATTAGAGGAAAACAATACAAGCTACTTGCAGAATATCAGCACCACAGCCTTGTGATAAGCAAGACAACACCATAAGTGTTTCAGTTGTTTCTTTTTACATTGATTGGTCTGACACCTTCTTGATAATTGAGGATATATTTCTGTGATTAACCAAACATGTATACATACTACTTATTTTCTTGGCCTAAATACTGATATGAATAGCAGATGTAAATAGAATAGACTCATACCAATTTCTCATGTCTTTTCTGAAACAAAATTTAGAAATGCATCTTGAGAAGCATGGTTTCACTGCCAAAGGGTGGGGGTGGGGGGTTCACAATACTAAGAAACTTAAAGCACTTTCCAAAAATAGGGAAACAGCATCTTTTATGTTTTATTTTTTGCTTCTGAAAAATATATATATAATATATATATATTACATGTACAGAAGAGTCCCACAGATTCAGAGAAAGCTAACAGAAAGGCACATAGAGAGTGCAGGTCTTTTCATAAAGTTTTCAGTTAAACCAACATCCAGGGCACGGCAAATGACAATGCAGACAACAAAAGCACAGGAAGCCTGTGTACATGACTCTGAAGAGCTAAATCATAGACAACTCCCAGGTCTGCCAAGAATGGAGGTCATCTCTGGAGAAAATGCCATTTCTATTTAATAGGCCTGTCAGACCATCACAGAATGTATTGAAGTCTGAACAAAGACACACCAGGGCAAGCAAACACCAATGCTTAACTTGACAGCTAGTTTGCTCTTATCCCCTTCTCTTTAAGTCCTGAGGCCTTTGCTGATTTAAAGGAGCAAATACCAGGGCTGATTCTGACCCTGCAACATTTTGCTCAGCTATTCAACACAATTTTGTAACAGACTAAATATTTAAAAAGCTTGTAAACACTGTGCTGATGGTGGCGAACAAACATAAAACAAATATTTATTATTTCTCTTTTACAGAAAAGATACAGGCAGAGATCTTTGGCTTGCCACATATGTTTCCCTATCCTGACATTTACCCAAAATGGTAAAAATTGAGGCACAATTCATGGGATCATAGGGTTATCTTCATCACAGGCCAGCAGAGGAGCCTACTAGGACTTGGCACAGCTGGAGCAGCTGACAGCCTTGGGTGAAGTGAGATGGGGCTTCACCAGGTCCGGCTCTATGGACTCCATTAGATCACACTCATTGGCAAGTATGTGCTTCACCAGGCACCTGGAGGCTTCGTCGATGTTTATATTTTCCTAAGGACAAAAAACAGCTTTTCTTAGTCAACATTCTAAAATGACCTTGAACATTCTAAAATGAAGCAGAGTCCCACATGTGACAAAAGGACAGTTACTTGATGATTCATAAGTATACCCTTCTATATACTACCTATAAATTCTCTTATTTCCCCTCATCCTCATTTATTCCTTCAAAAAAAAATTTACCTTTTGATCTCTCATAAAAGTACATGTACTTATTTTAATTTGTGATACAGGAGTAGTGTTTGATGGATTCACTTAACAGATAGAATTTGTTAGAGGGTAATTTTCCTATTTGCATGTACTCTTACATTATAACATAATACTGCAGAAGAAGCACAGGTTTTCAATCCAGCATAGGTTTCTTGTCCTCTGCTATATTCTACTTCTGTGGCCTTGATATGAAATAAAAATAATGGAACATATTTTGCAGTGGTCATTAGTGGATTAACAAGATTTCTGGTTCTCTACTCAGCAAATGGTAGGTGTCCACTACTTCTGACCTCCTTGAAATTAGGCCTGGCTGGCTAACTTTTGTTGATCAGTGAAATGTGAGAGCTGATGAGTCTCATCCTTATATAGCAGCAACAAAAGTGAATGCTCAGTTCCCCATCTTCTTTTCTTTGTCTCAGCAGTCATGGAAACAGAGAGAGGAATTCTCTTGCCTAGGTCTATAGTGAAGGATGGAGCAGAGGCAAATTTCCCCTCAGCCCATGAAGTTATTTGTAGTGTAAACGAAAATTATAAATTCATTGTTTCAAGCCACTGAGACCTGAAGTTGTCTTTTACTGCGGCATTACCTAGGCAATCCAGATGGATATAACTCTTTACAGGAAAATATAAAATCAGAAATACAAATAGAGTTTCAAGAAATAAACAAGCTTTAATTTAGAGAAAATATGGAGCAAGCATTTGAATCCAAAATATGTTATGTATTTAATTACTTTAGAATAAATTGCTTTGTCTTCCTGCTAGTCAGAAAAGAGAAATACAGAATGTTTGCTACCAGTATGCTAAAATAAAATATCATATCATTTCTCAGGTGAAAAGTAGTAGAGTGAAGATCTCCAGTAAAATTAAATTGTGTTGTTTTTCTCACAATTTTTAGAACTTCTCTGATGTGTTTCCTCATATTCAGTATGAGGAGACAAGCACTTTCTTGTTGCCAAACTGTTTTACTACATTAACTGTTTTACTACTTGCTAACCAATCTGAAATAGAACTACTTACCCTTAATTTTTGTGTGGATGTCTAAACTGTTTATGTATTTTGAGATCATTGCATCAAGTCATGTTACATGGAAAATGCAAGAGGCAGTGATGGCTTCTAAATGCACCCTTGGCTAATGGCATTAGCTGTACATGCTAATACTCATTAGCATGCTCCCCTACCTCAAGTCCAATCCTGATTTTACCTGATGTGAAAGCATAAGGTAACCTAGAGGCCCAGGCTGTATAGAGCTTTAATGAAAATGCTTCTGAGAGTTTCTAAATCCAAAACACAGATAAAAGTCTTGTTACCTTTTTGCTTGTGCTAGGTTATTGTTGTGATTTTTGTACCTAAACAGTATAGAGGTGTTTGAGCCTCTGTTTCTTCAACTATAAAGTGGCCTGGCTGATAACACTTCCCTAACAAAGTTAACCTGCTTCTCTTAACAGGGTGTTGTGTTTATTGACGCCTTCGCAGGGGGAAGAAGCTAGGCACTTTATAGTATTTAATCTCATATTAAACACTACTAGATAAAGATTAGATTTTTCTTCTTACTGATTTTGTTGTTATTGTTGGATGGAGGTAAAGGTGATGTTTCTTCTTTCAACTCAGGTGTCTGACTTATTCCATGAATGGCAGAGACTAGCAGTGCTTGTGCCCTGTCCCCTGCTGAGCAGGCTCCTGTGCCTTAAGTCATTGCCCATGCTTGACACGCCTTTTGTCATTCTTTCTCTTCCTACTGTCATGCCTGGAGTTCACATTTGAAGTACCTGTTCCCAAGCAATAATGCGACCTAGACATGGCATGGCTCTTTGGGACAGACCCAGTTTGACACTTTGCTCCTGAGTCCAACCACTTGTTTATGTGTTTGAGTAGAATCCTTCTCAATGGTCCTCTACTGTCTCACCATCAGGATGGTGGGGATGGGTAGCCTTGCCTCACCATCTAGCCTCAGCCCCATAGGCAAGCAGAAGCCCTATATTGATTGGAATGACTGTAACATAGTTGACCAGCAGTTAATAAATTAAGACTTGGATTTCCATTTGACTATTGCCTGTGTGTTGGGGAAAGATAGAATAAAACTCTACCCCAAATACCAATCATGACAGAGCATCATATATGTTTACATATAAGAAAAATTAAGTTTAGACAAGAGACTTCCTTACAATCACAAAGCAGGTGGCCTGGTGGTCCAGAACTCACACCCAGGTCCCTCTGACATTAATGTCTTTTTATTGCTAAGCCAAATATCCTTTAAAAATTGTTTTTAGAATCATGTACAAAAGGAAATTAAAAAAAAAAACACAACATTTCCCAATGTTAGAACCAATATGTACTAAATAACTTTTAATTCCTTTCCTTTTCATATATTATGATAAAATGTTTAAGTGATGGGGAAAAAAAGCTCTAAACATTTAAAAAGGTCTCTTTCACATACAATGTAAATTAGATTTGTCACTAGTATTTTTTTAAGTCTCTGCTCGTCTATTAATGTTCCACTTAAATAGGTATATTGCATGTAAATCAGTAAAATCTACTCAGAGCAGATTTAAATGCTAGCATGGGCAAATAAATAAAAATCCATCATCATTATGAGAAAAACAACAAAAAATCTAAGCCTAGCAGAATTATGTTAGTGAAATATAAGATGATGCTGGTGAAATTGTTTACACCAAGTAAACGCTCTTTGGTGTTAGGACTAGGACATGAAGTCTCTGAGGATGGGGCTTCAGAACAAAGAACAGGCAAAGACAAGTAGTGGGAGGGTGTGTGTGGAGATGGCAGATACAAATACAGCGCAGTTTATGGTGAATGAGCCGCATTAATTCTTTTAATTAATACAATTTAGATTTCTGCTAAGTACTAGGCACAGAAATAAAGATAATAAAATTGGTCCCATTCCTCACTGAGCATCACTTAAACATTTTATCATAATATATGAGAAGGAGCAAGATTTGTATAAACAACAAAGACATTTTTTTAAAAGAGAGGAAAGGGCATCTCAGGGACAGATCACAGTAAAGCCTTGAATATTCAGTTGGTCAAGTGATGTCACTGAGCTGTTCTTGCAGGTGAAGTGTTGGAAAACACAGTACTACACAAATCCAATATTAGTAGGACTGTACAGATGCTCAGCACTCTGTTTTGACAATTAGTATACTGATAAGCATTTAGTGAACATTTACAATGTTTCCCATTGTGGTAGATGCCACAGTATACCAATTTCAGATTAGGAATTTTAAGAGGACATCATGAAGAAAAGCACATGCTATTATCACCACTATATTTACTGCATGCTTTCTAGAAATAGGCAAGGGGTATAGTTTAGAGCAGAGGCCTGAAGTCAAACCCTCATCTCAATTTCTCTACTTTCTTGATTGTGTTACCTTGAGAAACTTATTTTGATCACTGCTTGCCTCAGTTTTCTCATCTTTAAAAGGAAAACTTTTAAAATCTACCTCACCAATGATTATGAATTAATTACAAGCTACTACATAGAATGTGTGAAATACCTACATCAGTGAAGGGCATACAGCACACATTCGATACATGTTATATCCATATTCTCCTCATACAACACCTCACTTAGTCAATAATGATGTGTATTCAACAATAATATGTGTGCTCTTTCTTTCATTTGGCAGCTGAGAAAGTTCAGGTTGAAAGAGAATAAGTGGCTGGCCCCAGGTCACACACTAGTAAGAGGTAGGGCCAGTTGTGAGCTCAGGGAAAGGATTAAATAACAGACTGATCACATGCTTTCTACAAAAATATGAGTAAGATGTGTATCATTTAAAGCACAGGTTAAAGCCAAACCTTCATTTCAGTTTCCCTAAAATACTTACCAAAATAAATAAAGTAACAGAATGGACAGGGCCCTTTGTTCCAGCACAAAAAAAGTATAAGAGCATAGACTCAGGACCTCAGGCAAAGCTGATTTATATTATTGACACATTTCCAAATATATCTGCTCTCTCTGACTTTCTATACACCACTGAAGTCACAGCCAAAGGGCCCAGACTGGGAGAAGGAATGGCAATACAGAGCAAATCTCTCTCTCCCCTTCTATCCTAATGCTAGCATGGATAATCAAACCCTGCATGATGAAACCACAAGTTCAGATCCTGTGAGCAGTTAGATTGCAGTATGATTGATTAAGCTACTTGGCATCCAGGTTGATATAGCCAGCTCACATTTTCTGGGTGATTGTGTAGAAACAGAGCTGCCAGATCAAGTGTAAAATAATACCTGGGAGTTCTCATTTGCATTTATTATAGAGAGTAGCAACAAAATCCCCAAAAGCATCTTTTGCTAGAAAGGACATTTACATATTCTATAACTTCCAAGTCACGTACACTCAGACTGGATCTGACTGTGATTTATTCACATATCTGCAATATGACAAGATGTACTATTGTGCTGATTGTTTTAGGTTGATGCATGCTCATGTTTGTGCCACTGCTAAGAATCTTTTCATTTATATCAATAAGTAAGCCTGAGAAACAGGCTTAAAATGACTAATAAAGCATTTTACTAAAAACAAATGATAGTAACTACCAAATTAAGGAAGTACTTTATTTATGAAATAACGTTCACATCTACTCCTCACCAAAATCTATTATAAAGCTAATAGACACGTTAAAAGTAAAGAAGCAACAAAAAAGTTATATAATTATTCAGAATAGAGTATGATTTTTACCAATCTGACATGTCAACCAAAATGGCTCTGTTGACAAATTCCCAGCCTGCTTCTTCCTATACGTTATGTTACAACGTCTCCCGTGATT